TCTGTGGCTTCCAAATGATTGTTACCAAACAAAACATGCCAAGCTAACTTGGGTACAACCAACATGGTATGTACTGAAGATTTCCCAGGGCCCCAGGTAATAGGAATATCTTGTAGGGCAATCCCTTGTAAAACAGCATCTTCATTAGCAACATTAATTGCAACTGGCTTGGTAAGCTTAGTCATTTTCAAGTCTGGATGCATTTGTTGGACACGTTCAGCATGGATCAAACTACAAAGCGACACTGAGCAACAACTATCAAGAGGCAGCGAAAGTTCAACACCGGCTGATTTTACTTTCGCCCACATTATATACTTCTTGCTCAAGTCAGGAATTTCGACAGAATCAGCTGCAACGGATGGCATGCCAAATAGGGGATAATCACTGGCTGGTGGGTTATTGTCAGCAGGGGTGGTGGGTGGGGTAGGGGGTTTTGGATTTGGAAGTACAGTTTCCAATTTAGAGCAAAGACTATCAAATTGTGCCTGAAACTTACTTGATAGCTTTTCTTCCAGTTGGCTTTGTGTAGGCAACTTATCTTCTTTGTGCAACAGTTGTTTACATCCCTTCTTTTTGCAAACCAGACACACATGTTGTCGATGAAACTTGCATTGATTATCAGGAAGTAAGCAGCGAGGAACAGCCCGTTGATTCCACTGGAGGCACAATTCGGTTTAACTGGTAGTATTTCCACAAAATGTTTGTTTTCGTTCTTGGTTTGTCCCAGGATTGTACAAAGCAGGACAGTTTCTTTTGAAATGACCAGGTTGATTACAGTTGTAACAGGATTTGGGTTTTAACATAGCTTTGTCTTCACGAAATGGGTCAACATATTCTGCTGAAAGGAGAGGTAATGGGGGAAAACTTTGTTCAAATCTGTTAGCAGCTTCAATAACTTCCGATAGAGAAGAATACTTGGCGTCTCGGCTCATCAGAGCTTTTCCAATTTCCGGTCGAAGTTTTATCAAAAATGCATGTCTCAGTTCGATATCATCATTCGTGCCTGTATAGTGTATTCCAGGAATACATTTCTCGAGTTCGTGTTGAATGTCACAGAATCGGTGTGCAAAAGTTGAAACAGGTTCTGCTTTACTTTGTTGGAGGTTGTAGTAGACTTGAAGTAATTCACGTATACGTTCATCTTTAGGTTTTCCACGTTTCTTAACTAACGATGCTTTGACAAGGTTAAAGTACGTTTCATACTGTTCGATAGTAATATTGGCAGGGTCCTCTCCAAGAGCATGTTTACATTCTTCTTCAGCAAACACAACAAAATCATAAGCACGTAAATCTTGCTGCACCTGTTGCTTAAGATAGGTTGTCCAATGTTTAGCTGGAACTCCAGAAGATTTTAATAGCGTCGTAAGCTGGTCAAGAAAACGGTCAAGTTGTTCGTCAGGCTTACCTGTATAGCGAGGTAAAACCACTTGAGGCAACTTCAAAGTGTCAACATGGCTTGAACTTGGGGAATTTGTGGCTAAATCTGCGACAGTTTTCGCGAGTGCTTCGATGTGTTGTCGATTTGCTTCTTGGGCATCGTGTTGGTTTGTTAGCTGGGACTTTACCACGTCAGCTAGTCCTTTAACGATCCCTGTGAGTTCCTCAACTGTCGTCATACTGTATTTAGTTCTTGTTACAAACGATGTAGAAAATCCTCTAAAATTCTGTTAAAACGATTTGCATCCTCCACCAATTGTAGTAGTCAGTGTAAATAAACATATACTTTAATATCAAACAACAATATAAACATTACATGAACAATAAACACGAATCAAATATGGTTTTTCTTCTACGACATTATCCTATAAACTAGCGGCCATTGAGAGTCCATGTGCTCACTACCTGTTCGCAGGTTGTACCTCCCTAAAATCCTACTACAATGGTCCGCCCCTAAGTATAGGTAATCATGCGATGGCGAGTACAATTAGGGATTAATAGTACGAGTGATGTTTGGAAATTTTGCCAAAATTGGACGAGCCGCCGGGGTGAATCCAATTTGGCAAATTCCAAACATCACGAGTACTATTAATCCCGAATTGTACAAGCAACATTGCATGATTACTTGTTTATTATTAGCATGACAAAATTGGATACTTCTCAATGTCAACATCATATTCACTCTCTAAAGCCCAGTCCTGCAAGACTTTCAACCAAAATTTGGTGCTTTTGTTTGTATTTTCATTTAGTTCTTTTGTTGAAGCAAAATTTGGTGCTTTTGTTGGTATTTTCATCTAGTTCCACGAGCACAATTTCATTTCACAATCGTGTTTAAAATGCCTTTCCACCATTTTGTTTGTTTTGGGAAAATCATTAATTGTACTGCAGTACAATTAATGAAGTAATTGTACTCCTCTTAACCAATCAGCATCCAGTAATTTTGTCATGCTAATAATAATACATGTAATGGACCAACAGTAAATCACTAAATGGCCTGAGCTGCAGTTGCGGGCTCCAAGCCTGAGAGGCAAAGTGTAAATAAATAAAGAAGGTAGAAGATCTCAATCCAAGAGAAAGTGTGATGGCCTCAAGGCGCGCATGTACTAGAGAGAACAACTACTTTTTAACGATTCCGCAATCACGAAATGTCTACACTTGATCATTCAATAACAATCCTAACAATTCAAGAAATTAACAGACTAAAGTATGTTGAATTGTTCTCCAAAGAATCATATACAGGACCCGATCGAGTTGTTCAAAGCTATAACCAGATTCGCCGCGATCAACTATTATAATCAACTTAGCCTGCGAACAGGCCCTGGGTTACAGGCGGCGCGAAGAATAGAGGGCCTGCACGGAATTAGCCTGCATGGCAGGCGGTACGTAGGAAATACCGCCTGCCGCAAAACTGGGTGTAAATGAACTACCGCCCCTGAAGCATCAACGCTATTTATAGAGCCATTAATTAAGTAAATATTCAAAATTAGCCACTCCCAAGCTGCTCCCAAGTCCCAACTGCCCAACATAAAATAAATTCCTTGATTCTCATCACCGCC